TGAAACTGATTTTTCTATTCCGATTGTGCATATATCGAACGTTCTTCATGTAACACAAAAGCACAACTATGAATACAATGGAATATTGTTATACTTTTATTCGATTGTAATATTTTTAGCCGCAGCATCATTTTGACATTTATGCTTTCAATCTTGTTTAAGCCCTCTAGCTGTGGTCGGCATTTTTTTTATCACGCGTTTCCCCGCATTTTAATATTTGTAACAGCTTTAATAAAATAAAAAAAAAAGAGTACACGTCGAATCTGATTCTTTACTTTTCAAGTTTAATCTTGTATAGAGAGAGGATTATTCGCGGAAGTACACCAAGCTCCAAGAAAGGAGCAAACAGTAGCACTGATGATCGCATGGGATGTATCGTCGATTGGGTCGAGTGGCATTAAGAAAACAAAATGGTCTCTGGCTGTGTGTCGGCCATGCTTTGGCTGGGATTGATTTAAATTGGTAGAATTACTGGGTGCCGCGGGTCTCGGTAGCGGGGAACGATACTGATTGCCACGGCCGCTCGTTAAGTACTGTAACAATACTAACCCCCACCACGATGCAGTTTGCACCCCCCCCCCTCTGCTTCTTGCACCCTCGTGCGACCGACGATAGCCTCCACCAATCTGTTTTCGTTTATCCCCACCGTCGGCAACCATTTATTCTGCCTCTGTCGACCGAAGTGAAACGAGAAGAGGTTGGCGCGAAAGAGAGATGGATCGACGCGATACCGAAGAGAAGGATGAAGGTATAGGTTCAGCTAGCGTGCGAACAGACTACGGAGGGAGAAAAAGCGCGAAGGAAGAGGCAGGAGATAGAGCAAAGATGGAGGGAGAAGCGTGAGAATGGGAGGAAGGATGTACGAAACAGAATGAAGATAGTAGAGGGAGAAGCGTGTGAGTGTCAAGAGTGTGAGAAGGGAACCAAGGATGGTGTTGGAGATGAGTGACGAAGGAGGCGGCCAGCGCGGAAGAAAGATGGATGAGAAGAAAGAATGAGAGTGCACGGGAGAAGGAAAGAATTACACGGAATGGAATGTACAGGTGAGAAAGATAAGCTGAAGGAGGAAAAAAACAAAGTGCACGACAAGTGCAAACTGAATAAAAATATAGTAAGGTTGAAGAAAGACAGTAGGGGATAGAAGAGACGTGAGGGCGACAAGTATAGGAAAGAAAGCGCGTTGAAGAAAGGACAAGGAGCAGTATGAAAGAAAGAATGTCAACAGAATAACAAAAAATAAATAGAAGGATTAAATTAGGAAAGTGATAGCGAAAAGAAACACAATGAAAGAAAAGAATAGCTGGAAAAAAGAAAAAGAGGAGAGAAGGAGGAAAAGGGGGAGAAGCAGAAGAAGACAGTATGCGAAGTATATTCTAGAGATGAGAGAAAAAAATATCAATATTTTATGAAGATAGGTATGAAAAATATATAAAAATATATGAAATTCTGAGTCGTATAAAGTTATTTAAGGAATGTAACCAAATATTGATTAATACAAATTACTATTAAGGTATCTATGAAAATCAAGTCCAATTGCAACTAAACGTTTGTCATATTTTGGTAAAAGTTTGAAATAAAAACACAGCGGTACGAAAGAAGGAGCGAAACGCAGAAAAGTGCGACGAGGACGATGTATAATAAGTGGCGCGAGAAACGACGGCTGCTTGCCTTGGAAGGGCTTGGAAAGGAAACCTTCGTGGTACGTAATCGCGTTCTTTTGTCGGTGGTGCACTTTAGTCGACAGTTGCGCCCTTCCATGGCGTTGCGACGCGCCGCGCTGTCTACGTTGACGTTGTCGGTGCTTTTCTATAGGCCACAGAGGCGGGTTTCGAGGCGAGTCGCGTGACAAGGCCATTTTCCCTGTTAAAATCTCGCTTCTCACACCGGGCGTAGCTTTTCCTACCAGGGTGTCTCGATTATTAGGGCTGTCTTCGATCGAGGGGCAATGCAGAGGTGCCCGACGATAGGCGGAGCTTGCGAAAGCCTATTGCGCCTGTTCTATCCACGTAAGAGAATTTCCAATAAGAATCTCTTCTTTCATCCTTGCTCTTTTAAGCTTTTTTGAAAACTTCCAGCAGGGCATAAATAAAGAGAAAATTATATGGCATATTTCTAAACGATAGAAGAAGAACATTTATGAATAATTTCGATAAATTGTTAATTTCGAAACAGGTTTGGAATCTAAGTGCTCTTTGTTGAACGTTTTTAATATATTTCAAAGAATTTTCTTAGATAGTTTCGGCTTGAGAAAGACTTGATAAGTTTAAGCCTTTATAATTTTAGTTAATATACAGTTTTAAAAGTGGCATTTTTGTTATAATACACGTAATCTATATATGCTTTAAGCGTGTATACATATAGGGTAATTCACCAATTTGGGGTCAGGTCTTTAAACAAACGTTTATAGTGTTTACACGAGAACAACATTAGAAAACACCCTAATAACGGTTGGAAACATTTCTCGCAAAATTTTCAATCTAATCACCAATTATCGCTCAAAATTTACTAAAATATTTGATAGAATTAAAACAAGTTGCACTATTCGTTGATAAAGTTATTCAATCTACGGAAATAAACAATAAAAATATCACTATTTTTCCGTAGAAAGACAAATCATAGAATTATATGAGTAGACAAATGCAACGCTGTTGTTTAGCATATAACTTTAAGCAAGAAGGAACATAAGAATTTTAGAACAAAATAATAAAAATATTATAAATATATATTTATTACAAATATTTAATGAAAGCTTTGGAAAAACTTTATAAAGATAAATATTAACTTTCATTTCGTTATGTAAAAAAGGATTTAAAAAAAGATAAAATAAATAATTATACATTAATATTAAAATTCTCTTAGTATTATTAACATTGAAATAATACAGCAAGGATCCGATTAATGTTAATTTTCACAAAGATGTCTGTATGAATATAATGAAAATATGTCAGTATAAATTTCTTTTCCAACGGAAACAAAATGTTAAAGTTTAATAATTGTGTCCGACTACGCAAGCCTTGTTTCAGCCAGACCGATCCTATCGTAAATCTTGAATCAAGACCCGGCGACCGCCGTGCGATCTAGTCGCGAGTATTTTATGGGAACGTCAACGAGGTCCCATCCAATTCCAGCCGTCATTCCAAGTCCAAACATAACGCCATTCCATGGAGCAAACATTTCTACTTTTCAACGTGCAAACCTTCCGCAATACCTCCGGGGAAGCTTGCACTTCTAGTGTGCTGACCATTTCGCGTCTCATTCAGTTCTGCCATTCATTCCCCCCCTCCTGCGTTGCATATGCTTAATCATTGGTTTGGATGTGCACAATTGTCATGCATAAATGTATGTTTAAATTGCATATAATATATTTTAAGAACAATGTAAAAACACTTTTTGTAATATTGTCAAATTTTGTTAAATTAGTTTTATCTTACCAGCAGTTATTTAAAAATACACTAAACACATATCAATTATACATATACGTTACAAGTAGATTGATTATACAAATAAATTGAGAATAAATGTGAACAAATACAGGGTGTACTAAAACCACCGGATATCCTTTTAATCGCAGATTCCTTAGAAAATTTCAAGAGGAAAATTCTAATAAAAAAATGTCGAGGCTATAATAGTTTTTAAATAATAAGCGATTATATTTCACAAATGGCAGGTCTGAGATTTCGTGCGCTCAGGCACGGCGACACGACGAGTGATAAAAGTGTTCCTATGTGTTTCGCGAGCGAGTGAGAACCAAAGTCACTGTTTAACGGGACAGAAAATATTTGGGAAGACGTTGATCCGGTTATTTTGAAAACTTGAGGATAAAGAGAGGCAGGAGACTAGATTGAATCTAACTGAAAATTCCAAGTTCACTCAGAATATCGGAGATCGACTAGATCGAAGGATATCAGTCTGATCAAGACGCTCATCATAGTGAACCCCTCCCTTTTATTAATAAGACGTTACACAAAGTTAACGAAAGAAATGGTTAAAGATAACAAGAGGAACAATTAATTCGAGAATGAATCGTTAAGTCTGTTGTGAAAGTTATCACTATGCTGAAAAGGGCGATATTCGTAGGAACACCTTTATCACTTGTCGTGTCGCCGTACCTGTGCGCGCGAAATCTCAGGCCTGTCATTTGTGAAATGTAACCGCTTATTATTTAAAAACTATTATAGCCTCGACATTTTTGTATTAGAATTTTTGTCTTGAAAGTTTCTAAAGAATATATGATTAAAAGGATATCCGGTGGTTTTAGTACACCCTGTACATCTGTAACTTACAGTACTTTACCGTACTTGACATAGCTTGACTTTGTCATGAAAGAAAAAATGTAACAGATAAAACAATGATAGAACACTGCGGTTTATAAAATTACTTTCTTAAAACGTCATAGAAGTGATAAATTGATTAGTTTTATTAAGAAAAGGGTACGTGTAAACAAGAAGTGTAGAACGATCAAATATTGGAAACATTTTAAAAAATGCAGAGAAAATTATATTTTTTTGTTCAAGTAGCAACGTTCATTTTTCTCTACAAATAGCTATTGTTATATTCAATTACGCGGTAGCGTACAGTATAGGTACAATATATGTGTATAACAATGTCGGAACTGCAAAGGGAGTGTTGCCAGTAACGACGACCCTCGAAGTCGTCAAATTGATCGCCATGATTTGGATACTCCCTTTCGAACGATTGACAAAGCCCTGTTCGAACACATTGAATGTGTTGTCAAAATGAAGACATTATTAGACCGTGTAATTGTTGTGCATAAATATTTGCGATTGAATTCGGGTGTTGAAAACCTGCTATCTCATATTAGAAGCCTATCTTACAATAGAGGACTTTCCTCTATATTTTTCGACGGACTCGTGCAAATTTTTTTCCCCGAGTGTTCCCCCCAAATCCTCTCACGCGATCCATTCTCGTTCGTGAAAATCCTGATATTACGCGAAACAGTACCTGACATTACCGTTAAACGATCAACATTTTTATTGCAGATCTACCATGCAACCATTTGCAACCGGAAGCGCAATGGCGACCGAGACACCAACGAGCCTGCCACCAGACAGGGTAACCTCCCCGACGCCCTGTCGAAATCTCACCTTTTCCATCGCAAAGATTATGGAACCGGACAAACGGCTGACCGAGCAGAACGCTAATCTAGTGCCCCCACCGCCGCCAGCAGTAGTACCAGTGACGACGACGACGACGATTCTTCAACAACCGCCGAACATCTCACCGTCGTACTCGGCGCATTTGAAATCGGCGTTCGAGAAGTACGTACCGACTTTGAGGCATCAAGATCTCCTCCAGCATTATCCCGTATTGTCCAAGTACTATCCACTATACTATCCGAATCCCTTGCTGAGAGCTTTCCCGGGTCCCCCGGCCTCGACCCCGTCGGTCACCCAGAGTTCGCCACCTCCCGCAACTATCCAGGAGGCCTCCTCGAGACTGAATCTGACCAGCATGTCGCCGGAAAACACGCGCGGTAAGAAGAGCCCGGCGCCGCGTAGCGAGCTCGGCACCACGAATAAGCAAAAGACCTTTACTTGCCCGGAGTGTGGCAAGGTGTTCAATGCGCATTACAATCTGACGAGACACATGCCAGTGCACACGGGCGCCCGACCGTTTGTCTGCAAGATTTGCGGTAAGGGCTTCCGCCAGGCGAGTACTCTTTGCCGACACAAGATCATCCACACGGCTGAAAAGCCGCACAAGTGCGTGACGTGCGGCAAGGCCTTCAATCGTAGTTCTACTCTCAATACTCATACGCGCATACATGCCAATTTCAAGCCGTTCGTCTGCGAGTACTGCGGCAAGGGCTTTCACCAGAAAGGTAACTACAAGAATCACAAACTCACACACAGCGGCGAGAAGGCGTACAAGTGCAACATCTGCAACAAGGCGTTTCATCAGATTTACAATCTGACCTTCCACATGCATACGCACAACGACAAGAAGCCGTTCTCCTGCAAGATCTGCGGTAAGGGCTTTTGCAGAAACTTTGACCTCAAGAAGCACATGCGGAAGCTGCACGACGCAGGTTCGCCGGTGCTCAACGGGTTAGATGCCTCGGGTCAGAGTCACAATCAACAATCGGGCTATTCGTCGGTGTACCACGGCCCGGAACACTCTATCGTCAGTCCATTTATACTTCCCCCGCCCGGATCCACCAGTTATCATTCTCTGAGTAAGATGTTGTGACAAAGCGAGAATATGCACTATCCCAGGAAGACTCAATATCCGCTCATTCTTGGCTCACCTTGCTACTCGACTGATATGAGTCAGTTGGCGCAAACTTCCAAGTGAGGAGTCAACAAGGCGCCCAAAGACTCGTTAGATTTCTTACTTGAAAAAAAAGAACATTTCCCAACTTACAGTTAGTCACGAAAACTGAGTCGAAAGATACATCGACGATGTGTCCTGCTGAAAATGTATAGAACCTTCGAAAGTAACCCGCAGATAAGATTTTTCAATGTGACAGATGTTTTAATACAACAAGAAACAATATCAACGACTTGTTCGATAAACTCCGACAGATGGTTGCTCACATTCTTATTACAATTGAAATTGGACTGAGATGAAAGTAACAAATGACTCGAAAATGAATTCGTCTTTTAAATTCTATTTTCCCATTTTTATATACAGCGGCTCACGAATCGAAGGTACCGCACGAGAATTCTCTATAATTAATTCATTTAAAAAAACCAACCTACATTTCATTAACAATATAACACGTAAACAGACAAGTATCTATGATTGTGCCATAGATCTTCGTTTATGAATTTTCAAAAGCAATTCGTAAAACTGATGTAATTTTGATTAGTTTCGTGAATCATTGTATGTCTCGAGAAATAAGTGTTTCTAATTTTTTTATTTTTGTAATGTAATCAACAAAGTTGATTAAAATTCTTTGAAATTATTACAGGAATATCCCATAGTAAATTGACTTTTCGTATTTCCGTACTGTCTCACTGTTAAAAAGTTCTTGATCAAATTTGCATTGACATCACAATTTTATCAGTTGATAGTCTGCTGTAAATAGAAATGTAATTGTTCAACTGGGATCGTATGTGTTGTAACATTCTGGGCGATACTTATGACCAACATGTAATTCTGTGGAATATTCGCAAAGCGTACTGGATATTATAAATAATTCGCAGCGAACGAAATCAACCATATCACGAAGATAAATCAATAGGACACAGATGCCCTATTAGTCTCTACGAATTGGGAAGGGTTTTAATGATCGATTATGAGCGTTGATGGTTGCATCAATGGATTCCTGCGGGCTAATGTAAATATTTGTAAATATTTGTATGTGCAAAGCAAATACGTTACGCGTTAACGGCGAACGGGGACGGGAGTTATTAGCAAAGTGATCTGTAATTAGGGTCGTCTCGACACAGAGACTGATAGAGAGCCATGGAAAATATGGAATCGTCCAAAAGGCTTATTAAAAATTCGTCCAGATTTCACGGAATCTTTGCCTTCGAGTTCCATTATGAATTCCTCTGTTGCAAAAATTTTAATTGGAAATAGATATGTGCATTTGTAAGAAGGAAATTGTCACAAATTTCGTGTTAGGTTCCAAAGTGACTCAATTTGATATTCAGTTTTACTCAACGCGTGTTGAAAAATACTTTTTAAAACTATGACATTTTGCCATATTCTGCTACTTTTGAATTATATTCCTTTTCCTTGGCATTTATGCAATTGTCAATTTTCGTAATGGAAATGTCATATAATACAATAATATCTTTGGTAATGCTAATAACATGACAGAACTTCGTATTTGCGATTTTACGTCAGAGCCTTCTGAATTTTATTTAACAAATTGTGTAATTGTCTCTATCTGGCAATTATTATTTTTACCTTATCAATAGTACATATTAAGGATTTTTCTTGAGACAAAATCGATACGCATAATCGAACACGAAGGAAGAAGGTTTTAAAAGAGATTTTTTGTATCATTAAATTAAGAATAAAGAGCTACGATGGAGCGTACGGAGCAACCTTATACATTGACCGCATATCTATCTACTTTTAGGCAAATGTATAAATCGGTGTGATAGTAGCTTTAAGTGAATCATAGATAGCAAATGAAATGTTGGTCATTATTATTACTATTGTAATTATTATAGCTAAATCATGATCACCGTGGCTGACGCAACTGCGATCATTAAAGGCTTTGCAATAGAATCAAGAATGTTTATAAAAAGATTATTATTATTGTAACTCGTATGACTATTTATGCATTTTTATTTACATCTCGTAACTGTAAAAAGGCTGCCTAAGATTATTTTTACTATCGCGCATAAAACAAATTTCGGGATGCCGCGTTCATTACAAAGCAACATTGATTTATTATAACAAGATATAATTTGCCTTATCGTATGTTAAAAATTTGTTTTAACGAAGCGAGTCACAACGGACTCTTGTCTGCATATGTATCGTGCGATCTAGATAAGCGGCAGGTAATTGCGGTGAAATTAATCAAGCGTAACTAAAAGTGAAAAGTTATGTATGTAGATAATTAGTAGAGTAGATGAAAATGCATATATATGTATGTGTCCTTGTTGTAAATATGAGTCAATCCGATGCAATAAATTCATCGATACCACTAAAGTACTGTTTGTTCCTCTCAGCCCTTCTCAAATCTTTCCTGGAGTTGGTCAAATTTATTGCTAATTAGCGTGTGCTAATTAGCGCGCAATTGAATTGGAAAGTGAAGAGCATCAGGTGTAACATTGAAAATTAATATTATCTTACACCGAAGAGCGATTAATTTTACTAACGCTCTTGAAATTTATTTTTTTTTAATGAAAATGAGACGACAAAACAAACAAGAGAGCGAATAAATGGTTTATGGCTCAATATTGCAAGACTGTTACTTCTTTTGCGTATTGTATAATGTATTCTGTAATGTACAGCTTACATAATGTACATATACTATACAATGTACACATATATAACCAAAAATTACTAAAAGATGTATTGATTGTAAGAATATCCGTTAATTATACAATTTTCTATGAATTTTATACGAAAATATTGCACTGAACGGTGGATTGTTGAAGCATATTTAGAAACATTTATATAGTATTGACAAAGCAATGAAATATTTTCTTTATTAAATGCAATTAAAATCTTTGTGCATTTGCATTCGGTAATGCTGCAAATTTAATAAAAGTCCAGCAATTGAGATCGTAATGTGTTTCTGGCATGAGTAAAGAGCGGAAGTATGAAGAGTTTAATAGAATTGTGTATCGATTACGCGGAAAAAAGGCTTAACCCCTTGCGTAATACACGTAACGAGGGTGTTATACATGCTAATCTTTCGGGCACATCATCCGGGCGATCCCTAATCTAGCTGTAGCGAGCGAAAATCGACCCTTAAGCACATCCTCTACGTCTACCTCGATGTCCCGGCTTCTGCAATCGCGGGAGAGGATTAACGATATCAGAAGCGAGTAGCCCGATCACCGGAGGACGCTGGAAAAGGAGAGACAAACAGAATGTCTACCATTAGAGATGATGTGTAGGGCAGGGAGTAGAATGGGGGGTGAGAAAAAGAGGGAAAGGGAGACGGCGTGATTTAGAACGAAACAGAGATTGAAAGTGCAGCCAAGAACGATAGCAGTTGCGTGAAAGAGTGGGAGGCACGTTGGAGATGGATGGCTAAGGGGGTGTGGAGTTTGAAGGGCGTCAAGGAGGGACAGAGAGAGGACAACGTGCTTCTCATCTGATGTTTGCGCGAGATACCGCGCCGGCCCTCTGATGTATCTGCAGAATCTGTCCTCCATCCATTAAATTCGAGCTCATCCGACTATCGGGGCCATTCTGTCTCTTATCAAATACCGTCGGTCGTTACGGGATCGGTGGTTCTATATAGGACGTCGTTCAGGCTACGTGTCAACGAGAAATACGGCGATGTTTGCGATGTAACACGGCTCGCCATTGAATACTTTCGTGGTCGATACGCAAACGCATCGTATCTCAATAATGTATCTAGATTCGATGGCACGCTGCATTGGACTAACCGCATTGATTCTGAGAGATTGTCAACAAAAGAACTAATTACCAAGATATGTAAAAAGTTAACGTTAAAATATTACCTGTAGAAACAAATCAGAACAATTCAATCACGTTCTATGATATCTCGGTAAAGGTAAGCAATGAGTCCGTCTAGCAGTGAAAGTTACTTTGCAACTGTTATAACATTCATGAATCTGATTGGCGTGGGTTATATTCAGCTCTTATATTCAGCCAAGATTATGAGCGTGCGCCAATCAGATTCACAATTTTTACAACAGTCGTAAAACCAGCTGTTTCTGCTAAACGCAGCCAATCTCTCACGAACATGTGCGTACAGCAAGTAAGACTCTATAAGTTTCTATAAAATATTTCCCTACAACGTATCTTCAAAATTATTGTTTTATTATCTGAATAAAAGTTGACTTTATATCGTTTAAACGCGTTTCGCTCGAAAATAGTTTACTTTTACGAGATAAAACAAGAGGACATTTTGCATCAAACGTAGATACTGAAGAGCTAAGGTTTTAGGTTTCATCTAAAAAGATAAATGTCTTATTTAAATTTACTATTTTATTTAAAAAGAAAAACATACCATGTTCAAAGTTTTGCTGATTAGAAGCTTAAAGAAATAGTCTGTCCTTGGCTCTTCAGTATCAAGAAATTTATTACGCTATTTCGAAGACTTTTTGTTTGATATAAAAGCAATAATTACAAATTATTAAAGCTACAAAGTGATATAAAAATTATTCGCGAAACACAATCTCAAATTTTAACTTTAGATAAGGACAGATATCTTGATGAAGATGCGTCGAAGACATAGAACAATTTTTTATTTAAACTTATGAGGTTATTTATAAAAAAAAGAAAGAAAATGCTCTACATGTCCACCCATAGACTTGTACAGGTAGACTGCGCATTCTGTGAGAGGATTGAAGATTAAAGTGAGAGTGCAATAGCCTGAGTGGGTGTGTCTCTGTCCAGTATGCGCGTTGGTGGGGGAAATAAGGAGGAGAGGAGAAGCGAACGTTTGTCGTCTTCTCCCCATTCTTAACAAAGAACGAGAGAGAAAGCATCACTCACGCAACATCTCTGTCCTTCAATCTAGTCTTCAGTGCGCCCGTAAGGACGCGCAGTCTACGTATACTCGTATAAGTCTATGATGTCCACCGGGACACCCTGTATACAGGAGCTTAAAAAATTAAAAGAAACCCCGGATCTATTCAATATATTTCAATATATTGAATATATATATATTTTTTTTATATTCTTGCTTCGGGTCTCCTCTGTGTAATGGCAGGAAATCTCGGCTTTTTCAGTATATAAAAGAGTCCCGATCGCGCAGTGCCATTTGTATACAAACAAGTACTTAGTGGCATTTAATAGGAATTATCCTCACTGGAGAGGCACAATTACGAGCGGATTATTAACACCTGGGACCGATGTCGTGCTGCTTCTTGAGTTGTCGGCTTCTTGCTTCCATTGCAAATCCCGTGAGCCACGAACTTATATGGATACGTCCTCCCTGCCGAAGGGCAAGAGCGCAAAGTAACCGCGCGTCGGTCGCCTTTTAAGTCGGCTTGCTCTACCGCGATTCCGGTTTTGGAATTTCGCCCCGTGAAGGAAGGAATTTGACGTACCGTGAAATCGCTAAAAATCGCCATTACAATGTTTGAGAACCACACGATCTTGAGACGTTCGCATCGCTATTAAAGAGAAATACCGCTTGCGAGGAAAATAAAATGCTCAATTTTCTTATTTATCGCGTATCAATAATTGTGCATTCAAATTATCAAAATATCTGTACCAGTAAATATTATCAGGCAATTCAATAATTTTTAGGTTAATCATTGACTTATTTTTAACTTAAAAAATATTTAAAAATTGTTCTCTATCAATTTATTACCGCAAGTTTAGTCTTGATCCAGATTGCAATTAAATCCGTAAATAAAATTAAACGAAACAATATGTACAGTTTCTTACATATACTACAGTAACAGGATTAAATTCCGCGTACAGTGTAGATCACAGAGCATGAAGACGAGATCAATGATTGTTATAATTTTCACAAACTCGTCATGGGTCTCCTCTACCATAAATATCATCTCGAGCGGAGTACGTCCGAAATGTATATCGAGCGAATTTTTGCGTATCAGCTCAGTCGAGCGAATATTAGCGCGAATCCCGCAGTGGAGCGGACGATCCTCGACGATCCGTGATACAATGACAATACGGAGGCCGCCATAATGCCAGGCATCCGTACTGACACGCCGTCGCCGGGGCAATGGAGGGATGAAGAGGGTAATGAAGAGGTGTCGAACCGTATCTCGTAAACCCCCCCATCGTCGAACCGAGCGAACCAAGGGTCTTGCTCGCATAATAACTTACAGTTCGCTCATCAGTTACGGGTTTTAACCAATTATAAGGATATTAACGGGGGTGGCTTGGTCGCGAATCAGCCCCCGGGGCTCGCATTTACGAGCGAGCCGATATCACGCCAGGGGGATTTAGAGCTTCCTGCTGCGATCATTTCGCATGCTACCGTCGCGTATGTTTGTTCCGTTTCAACTGCATTTCGATGATCGCTTCTATCGATACGCCGTTGCTCAATGAGAATACTCGAACGAGTTTATTTTACGATTAATAATCATTTAAACCTTCCGCGTATCATGTTCTTGTGCGAACACGTCTACGTCCGTGCGGGCAGGTTTGGTTAAACGTTACGACTAAATTTTTGGAAGGCTGGATTAATATCTTACAGCACAAAATGTGTGACTATAATTGTTACAGGCTTAAATTTCTCTTTCAAATGAGATTCCCTTTGCGTTTAAACAAAGATTCAATCTCTTAACTAAAAGGAGCGCGTTATCGAACATGCCAATCGATAAATTGCAAATGAACAACAAATTGAGATAATAATTATTTCATTTAAGCTCAGCCGGCATATTTTTCAGTGTAGTTTAACAATTTTTTAATGCCCTGTAGTAAAATTTACAATTGCTCGTATTTAACAAATATAAAATTAAACACTCTTGGTTTGTACTTTAATAGTTTTGCATTTTTGTTTCGTTTTTTTCTAAATTAATATAATTGTGTCCAATCGATTTGAAGGATTTTTATGTAAATATACGTTTCGCCATAATGTTTTCATAGTAATTACTATCGATTTTCTTGGCCGCAGCGTTGTGCGCCGTCGACACCTAATTAGGAAGTATCAGGTGTCACTGGGGCAACGCCTAGCCTAACCCCGCTTTTCTCGATCATTGTGCCTTGATCGAGCGTTAGCCACGGCTCGACGCCTCCGTGAAACGCAACGGGGACAACGAGTCACTCGATTCAGTCCGAATCATTCGACTAAGCGGGAATACTTAGCGGAAGGAATACAAAGGGGGCGGTCGAGCATTCAACGATCGCGTATCCGTTTCATGGAGACGGAGACCATTTTCTTTTGTCACCCCCGTGAGAAGAGTCCCAATCCCTCTCGCGTTTTCCGAGGTAATAAAGTGCACTGCATGCCGATCTTATTGCCTTTAGTATAATGCCGGAAGAGATTCTAAAACCGATGAATTTGTTTGTGTTCCAATGTC